TATATATATATATATATATATATATATATACACACACATACACACACGTTCATAAGCACTTACACACTTTGTACAGTTATATTGCTAAATTCCACCACAGAAGAATAACTAACCTCCAAATACCTACAAAGTTCATGGAATCAGCCTGGACATTCTACTGAGCCACGTCGTAAATATTTTCTCACACTTTTATTACTTTAGACAATTCTCATTGCAACCACTTGAGTATAAACAAGCAGACAAACCCTCTTGCACAGTGTTCTCAGAGTGAAGATTACAATGAACACTATGTGAAAGTTTTGGGAAATGCACAGACAAGCGTATTTGGTATTTGCTATTTACAGTGTCATATCATAGTGTTATGTAAACAGTCTAGTGACAGGAGCAGCAATCATTGCTTTATGATTGGCAGGTTTCAACTTCAGCCACTAAGAGTAAAATAAAACATAGGAAATAGATGTGAAAAGATTAGAAGTAGTAACTCTTAGGGAAAGTACTTTGGAACTTCATAGTCAATAACAAAGACAGAACAGTACCACTGTTTAAAGGTTTATAGTGGATAAAAAAAATTGGTCAAATTGACTGATCCCTTATAAAGATATGGTAGAGGAAATAATTTTTTTTTCTAAAAAAACTAAAAAGAAACATTGATATTTACTTAGGAGGTTTTAGAGATTAAGCAAATAAAATTTGAAAATTTTCAGATGAAGAAAACGTATTTTTAATCTTAACATGAAAATTACTTTGCACTCTGAGCAGTAAACAGGGCATTGTCTATTTTGTTATTCAGTTTCAAGTTTATTCTCACATGTATCACATTAATGAGCTTAGCTGAATTTTTAATCATTCTTATTGGATAGTTAAAAAGCCAGAAAAATTATAAGTTATAGGACACTGATTTTTTGCATATTATTATTCTGTATTTTTAGATGCAGTATTTAATTTAATTATTTATAGTAGTAGTACCATTAGTATACAAATGCAGGCTTAAGTTTCAATGACAGTTGACAGCAAGAAAAAAAGACGACCCAGGTAAGTACCATACTTCTGTTTTTCATGTGTATTCTTTATTCATTATCATAAAAGTAATTAAAATGTAAAAATTAGAAACTTATTAGGTTAGACAATGTTAGATTAGGTAACATAATGAAAAATAATAATAACTAGCATATAGCTTGTCAAAAATGATAGGGCAAGTACTACACTCCCACCCCATCATATACCCTAACCTCACATTTCATAGCTTACCGAAACATATAAATTTCACAAAATCAACCTTGACCAACAAAGATGCAGAAAATTGCAGTTGAGGCAGTCAAACGTCTGTAAATTCCTTTGTGAGCCAATAAGATTCATGAAATAAATTTGTTGCATATTCATAAAACAAAAGTATAACCTACTATTGTTGTTAGTCTATGTACTAAAAGTATAAAATGAAATGTATAGACAACAAAAGTAGAAAAATATTTGTTGATTTCTTAATTTAGTGTCCGTTGATTAAAGAGGTTTGTTGTTTTTATTAAAAACATTGGTAATACAACACAAAATAGCTTATTTCAGAAAGGATTTAAGTTTAAAACTGAATCAATATTTTTACTTTCATAATACATTTTATGCACTTGGCTCTAGGTTAGGCAATCCCAGACCACATCTTTACTTTAGGCTTATTATACCAACACTCACTACACTTATAAAGTTTCATTCATAGCCCCCACCCCAACACACACACACACACACTCACGGCTCCCTTGCACTCCCCGTCACTAAAATCATAATGGCCAGAGAGTAACAGAACTATTCTATCTAGATAAATGCGTTTTGGCTTTTATGACTTCTACTTTGAGAAATCAAGTATAACGTAACATGACACACACTGGCTTTTATATAGGTTAGATAAAATTTCATGAGATATGCTCGCAAGCAGCTTGTGGCTATATATTTCGATATAGTAATGTGAGGTGCACATTCACCAAGTGATTTACAACTAGTGTGGTGGGATTATTAGTTAGTCATGGTTCAAAGAGCAGTAAATGTATGTATAAATGGATATAACTGTCAGGCACTTCAAGCTTGTTAGGATAAACAACTGTGGTTTCCAGTTACAATGTGCAGTTACTTCAGAGAGAAAAAAGAATAATTTCGATTTCCTAATTTCTTATTGTGGTTACAAGGTTGGTGACATTCACCAAATGGGTATAGAGTTTGAATAGAAAAAATTACAGATAAAACAAGGTATTTCAAAAAAAAAAATTGACATTTATTTAGGAGGTTTTAGATTATGCAAATGAAATTTGAAAATTTTATGACAAAGTATTTTTAATCTTAACATGAAAATCACTTTTCACTTGGAGCAGTCAATATTCTGACTCCATATACTTACAGACAAGTTTTTAGTAAAAAAGTTAATTAAAAATAATGATTCTTTTTTGTCTACAAAAGACTTGTAATATTTACTGAAAACCTGCCAAATTATGTGAGCATCCATTAAGTACTTTCAGAGTTATAGTACATATACCTTCATGAATAAAAGTTATTTACGTGGTGGTTATGAGGTCATGTAAAATATATGAACTTATTGCATTAGAATTAAATATTTGTGTAGTTCATTCATACATGAAGTAACTTTTCCAAATGTTTCTTCATTTTTACAGTTTTACATAAAGTTCAAAAGAAATCAATGCTACCACTCTAAGTGCATACATAATCATATATAAAGTGCCAAGACTAAAAACAATATATTAAGAATGATTAAGAAACTTACTTTCACTGGTGCCATGATAGGACAACTGTTCCTGCAATGAAACACAACAATGCTTTAAAAATTTACAGTAAAACATAATCTGTAATCTCTTCTAAGCATATGACTAATGATCTACAAGTGGAACACTGACAAATGTGTATTTTCAATATGTATAATAAAGACTATTTCATGTATCAACCAAAGCATTTATTATGCTCCATTCTATAACATAAATATTCAAAAATATAAAATTCAATCAACATACACTTTCTACACAAGACAATACTACAACAATATTAATATTTAAGTACATTTACAATTATTGTAATAGTAATTTAACACTTTTGCTACAGGAATCTTTTTCTGTGCATTTTACAAGGTTTTATTTAGTGAGCTACATTCAAAATTTAAACTAATTAATTAACATGGTTCATTAACAAATTTGGCACAATCCGATTTTAGTAAGGCAATATTAAAAAAAATCCTGAATTCCTCCTACTATGAAAATTATGACATTTTTTCTAGGCATCCCCTCTTCTCTAATTTATTTACCACCCCTTCAAGAAGTATAAAATTTAACATAAATTACTCTTTATTATGTTATCACTCAGGCAAAGCATAGTTTTTATAGCTTTCAATCGTATTTAGCTACAGGAACACCAAACAAAAAAATCAGACCCCTCTTGTCCTGCCCCCCTGTCACATCCTCTTTTTCAGAAATTGCCAATAGTTCTTACCGACATTTAATATTAATTACTTATAACCAAAAGAAACTTAAGGTTTTAATCCATCAAATAATGTACTATATTACTTTGTTCCTGTACAGAGAATTGTCTATTTTGCTTCCAGTTCAAACTTTATTCTCAAGGAAAACATACTGACGAGCTTAGCTGAATTTCTAATGGAAATTTTCGCATAGTTAGAAAGCCAGAAAAACTATGATAGTTATGGGACATTATCTGCTTTTTGCTTGCGATTGTTCTGCATTCTTTGTTGCATTGTTTAATTTTAAAAAAAACGTATTTAGTGCAATAGTACCATTAGTATAAAAAAGTAGGGTTAAAAAAAACCAGGGAAGTACTTTTTCTCATTTTTCACATGTATTCTTTATTTATTATTATAAAAATAACTAAAATGTAAAAATCAGAAACTTTTTAGGTTAGGTGAGGTTAAATTAGGTAAAAAAAACAAATAATAATACAGATTTTTTAAAGATATGCTTGTGAGCAACTCGCAAGTAGCCCATGTATTATGTAATTCAATAGGGTAATGTGAGCTCCATGTTCACCAAGTGGCTTACAAAATGTATGGCAAAAGTATCAGTTAGACACAGTTCGAAGGGCAGTAAAACAATAAATTTTAAGCATAAACATATGTATACTGTTACGAGTTTAAGGCTGTTTAAGATAAACAAATGTAGTTTCCTGTTACAATTTAAAATCATTCTAGAAAGAAGAAAAAGGTAGTAGATTTATTTCAATTTTTTGGGGTGGTTACAAGGTTGTTCAAACATCCTCCTATAGATATAGGGTGTGGAAAATAACAGATATAACAGCTTCACTGAAAAAAATGTTTGAACTTTATTTAGGAAATTTTTAAGATTACACAAATGAAATTTGAGGCTTTTTGGATGAATATAAAGATCTCTTTGCACTCATAGCAGTGAATACTTTGACTTTATATATTAATGGAGAAAATATTTCACTACCAATTCTGGTTTTTATCTACAAGTGACTCTTAATGATTACTAACAGCTTACAAAATTTTGTACACATACACAAAATATATTAGAAGTTATAGTATGGAAACTATAAAGATCAATTTGTGGTAACGAACCCAGTCGACTCAATTGAACCCATAAAACGTTTGTTAATAAATTTCACACACGTTATTTGTACATTCAAATTATTACGTAATAAATGAAAGAAAAATAAAATAGATCCTCTGATACTGTAGAAGATTTCAAATCACATCAGTACCTTAATACTGAAATATAAATTTTGTTTCAGAAAAAAAATATATATACTGTAAGACATACTAATTGTGAATAGACATTTTAATTTCAAAATGTCATTTGGCAAATACTGTTATATAATGTTACTGAACATGCATTTATAATTTTGACATGGTATTACAAAGTTACAAACTCTTTCAACCCTTAAAATTTGAGCCTGACCATATACAGTGTTAGATTCAAAATTAAACACACTAATTATCAAGGCGCATCAATAAATTTGACAGTAAAACAAAGTATATAATTCAAATGTTAACATTTTCCTTACCTGAAAATGTATTTACAACTGACACTTAACTCTTTACACAAACTATTTGTTGCAAGTCTCCCTTAGATATTTTTCACATACCTTTAGTCTTGAGCTATCTCCCATCTAAGATGTTTTATAATGAGAAATGTATAGTAGATCCCCATAAGGACTTGCACAAAAATATTACATTCATTCTTAGATGAGACAATAATAATGTTCACCAGCAGAAGGAGGAAGGGTGGGAAGGTGTGCAGTGAGATAAGTAACATTTTAAGGCAAGGAAAATGTTAACTTCCAAAATGATAAGCTTACCTCTCTGCACACAGTAGATAAAATCCCACATTGATGTGGTGGAGGTGCCAGTGCAATAATGCATGGGAAAGTGCAAGGTGTGTAACACCCTATAGTGGAGGCTTTCCAGAAGGATAACACTTATAGGAAATCATATCTATCTCATGTAGGTATACTCTTCGTCCAGATGGAAGTATGAAAGGAGAAAGGCAAAATGAGGCCATGTGTCACAAGGACAGTTGGAAAAAAAACATCTACACAGATCAGTTGAATACGAGGTGTAGTGTAGCTCAGGCAATGATCAGACTATATGGTTCGGTATGTGTACTGTAAACAATTGGCACACCTTACATATAGGAATGGGAGCTAAGACCCTTACCATCATGCAAGAACACTTTGCCCCATCCAGCTGGCCAAACCACCAAGAAGTTGGTATATTATATAAAGAGGGTGGTTTGCCCTGATTTACACTAACATGGACACTCCTGCCCTGCTTCCCACCAAAATTTGTTGCCTACTTGGACTCTCTCTCCAGAGGTATCACACAATCATTGAGAAACTCTCAGCAATTCTATGAGCTACTGTGGCATAAAATATACCAGAATATAAAGTCCCAAATCTACCATAATTTAATACTATTGCCCTGGCTATCCTTTACTGTACATGTCACAAGGTTTTAGTGACATTCAAATTTTAATTAAACAATTTTTTTGTTTGCATTATACCAATTAATATAGCAAAAAATCTTAGCTAATAATCTATATTTTAATAGTATACAAGTTTTAAGTTCTTAAGTCTATAAGGCAATATTTAAAAAAAATCCTGAATTTCCACTAGTGTGACACATGATACATTTTCTCTAGGCATCTGCTCTATTTTATTTACCACCCCTACAAAAAGTATGAAATTAAGCACAAATGACTTACTATAAAATTGCCATTGATCAGATAAATCATAACTTTTATAGCCTTCAATTTTGTTTGGTTACAGAGCTATCATATAGAAAATCATACCTCTCCTACAACACACACCTGTCTCATCCTCTCTTTCAGAATTTGTTAATAGTTCT